GTCCACAATGAAATTTGGTGGGGAGGGGTGGTGTTGTGAAATGTAATCTTTACTTGGCCACTCCTACATGACAGCTCTCTCTACCCTGAAGAATCACAGCAGGATCACATTTACATTTTCAGTAGTAACCAGATTAAAGCAATCTTGAAACAGTACATCTTCAGAGGAGCCCATTGGTCTGAAATTCTTCCTTTAAGAATTCAATCATATCAGACCCCTCCATCCACATCCTTGAAACGTAAATAGACAAACATACCTGATTTTCCCATCTATCCCTTCTTCTGGATCCCCTCTGCCTAAGTCTCCACTTTCTTGCCCTCTTTTCCCACGTGGATGCAGGGTGTGGGTGAGCACCAATTTGCCATCCATCAACTCAGAGAGAGATATGAGCTGATATAATTTGCTCAGAAGGCTAAATAATTGAACAGACAAGAAATGGCAACGTTCTGAAGAAATAGTAGGCAGGGATGGAAAGAATGGATTCATAAGGGTTTGATAACAACTAGACATGGGAGAAGAGCAAGCAGGAATCTATATCTGCCTGAGGAATAAACAGATAAAGTAACCTAGGGAATGAGAGATGAAAAGGCAGAGGTAGTTTCCTAGAGTTAGAGTTTTAATTGACCCATGAACTCTTAAGCAGGATAAGGAAAACTGTATCCATTCTCTCCCACCAGCAAACTCCTGCTTTGAAACTCACACCCAAGTCTGGTGCCCAAGAATAGGTTAAAAACAGGGGATGTGACATCTCAGGGAAGAACATACAGGAAAGTTCAGGATTGGGTTTTTACCATGAGTTTCTGAAATGAACATATCTCCTGCCATATCAATAAACAAGAAATGTAACAACCATCAGCGATTTCTGGCCTCCAAACATGAATGAGGGATCCCAAGACTATGATCCAGGGGATGCTCCTACTCCCCATGGTGATTGCTGAGGAGCTGGGGAAATGCAAGAAGCAGCCATCTGCCACTCCTTAAGGTGAACAAGGAAACAGGGTTGGCCCCAGATAGCTAAGCTGCATATGAAAGGAATGAATTCAGTGAGACCAGAGGCTTGCATCTTCCCATACATAGCATGCTAAATTCCTTAACTTGATACCTGATTTTTATGTTCAGATTTCCTGCTCCCTTTGTTGCAAACTTGTATACAGCCTGACTTCCCTTCCTGCCTCTTTGGAGCAATTTTCTCAGAGCTACTGAGATGTTGTCTCTAGGGCTTAGAGTCCTAAGCATTCCCACCAAATAAAATAACTCTACCAGGTTCTGACTATATATTCTGGTCAACAATTCATCTTGCTAGGAAGGAGAGTGTGAATGTGGACCAAGTTTAGGTGCTTTTTATTAGTAAGAATGACCTGGAGCATCTGTGTTCCTGGGCTAAGTCATGCCCTCATTAGCCTTTGAAGGAGGTGACAAAACAGGGCAGTGCACTCATCTTGTATTTCTTTTGAGGAAAATGGTGTTTGAGAGCCAATCCTCTAAAAACATTTGACATGGAACCTGGTAATAATTAATAAAGCAAAAAACAAATTTTACTTTATTCAGAATATTTCATTTTGAGCAATTTCCATATAACACAATCACAGATCAGCACTATTCTATTGAGATACAGGCAATTAGAATATCTGTGGCATAATCTTATATTTAATACAACATCATGGCAAAGTCACTGTGGATGTTCCCAGGGCACTTAATTCAGCATCATCGTACCCGGGGTCCCCAGTCTCCCCCTGGAGCAGCCAGGGCCTCTCTTCTCCTTCCCCAGGATCAGCTTCCTCTCTAGAGACATTTAGAGAAGAGCCTGAAAGAGGAGAGAGAGGTATGATTTAGAACAGAGACAAGGGGGCCAGACAGTGAGGAGGAAGCAAGTTAAGCAAGTGGTGATGACAAAGCATCCCTGGGACTCAGGGGTGGGCAGGGAGGCTCAGACTATTTCATATCAGTTACAGTGAGGATGGATCCCAGCTGTCCTCTTAGATCCAGTCCATGTGGTCTCTGGGGCCTCAGCTCATGTGGAAACCCTGCATCACAGGAGACCTGTGCTCACACAGGAGCTCTGAGAAGACCTGCCTCCAGGCAGTGAAGGGCTAGGTATTCAGCTGTGTCTGACTCTTAGCAACCCTATGAACTATAGCACGCCAGGCTCCTCTATCCATAGGATTCTCCAGGCAAGAACACCGGTGAGGATAGCCATTCCCTTCTCCAGGGGATCTTCCTGATCCAGGGATCAAATCCAGGTCTCCTGCATTGCAGGCAGATTCTTTACCATCTGAGCCACCAGGGAAGCCCATCAAATGCATGCGATTACCCATGCATGAGATTCTCAAATGCATGAGAAACTGTACAGAGGCTGGACATTGAGCTCAAATTCACCCTTTCCAGGACAGAGACCAAAGATTACAGGGGATCAGCTAACTCCACTCACCTGTCTGAGATGTCATCCCATCTTCCTTCTTTGGGAGCACTTCCTCCTCACTCCCCTGAGAGGCAGGAGGAGCCCCAGGTACTGGTACTTCTTCAGCATCATCATAATCCTCACCAAGGGCATAGGTCTTCTGATCTGGGGCTTCTGAGCGCAGAGCAGGGGTCAGATGAAACCACACTAAGTGGGTTGGCCTGGGAAATACCTAAGATCCCTTCTGACCCAGCATTTCTGAGCTGCTAAATAGAGGCACCTGTCACTCCTTGTTTTAAAAGATTTTTTTCTCTAAGACCATGTTTCAATTTGATATGTCCATAAACCAAAACATGACCTTACATATCTTAATATTTTCTGATTGAAAACATATATCTCAAAGCAACTCTCCCACCACTGAGCATTACTAAAGTATTTTGACAAACTGTGCTTTACAGATGTTATTTTTAAAGCCAATGTGTGTCTCTTGTGATTCTGTACACAGAGAGCCCAGCCCCAAAAGTGAGACATCACAGAACAGCCAGAGAAGGAGAAGGACAGACCCTATCTAGACACAAGGGATCCCTCTGGTCCATCAAAGGAAGACTGTTCCCCTTACATCTCCTCTCTATGAGGAGGGCAACTCTCCTCCTCAATACTCAGCTGAAGCAGGTCCACCTCTATTACCTGGAGTGGATCTGGAGTCATTGTTGCCCTCACCATCTGACAGGAAGCCTAAAGTGGAGAAAAACATCACACAACACACAGAATGACCCTCCCACACCCACGGGACCAATGTTAAAGCTGAGAAGGGATGGGTCTGGCTCTTGCAGTGTAGACAGAGGCTGGGGGCTCACGGGGCTGTGAGAGGCCATCCTGCCACTTTGGAGAGCTGCCTCTGTGAACCTGGGGAACGTATCGGGTCTGCAGATGCTGAGAAGATGTGCACACCCAGTGGGTGTGATAACCAGAGGTCCCAGGAGGGCAGAGACACCCACCTGGGCTGCCCAGAAGACCCTCCTTCTGAGTCACAAGGTAATCGAGCTCCTCATACACAGCTTCAGCAAGAGCATCTTCATAGCTGGATAAGGCTGAGAGATCCCCCAGCAGGTCAGAGGTGCCACCCCAGACACCCCAGTCCAACCGGCCCACTTTCATCTCCCCGATGCTCACACAGAGGCTGCCTGGACCTCGGCATCATCTCCGACCCCATGCACCATGTCAGCACCTTTTCCCCTCATCTAACCTGAATCCACAGGTCAGCCCCGACTCTGTCTGGTCTCCTAGGAGAGGCTATGACTTATTAGAGTTCACGCCCCAGTCCTAAGAAACTCTGTCTACTCAGCCCTTAGAGCTCAGCATGGAGCACATGGAGTCTGAAACTCAGAACAGAGACCTGGCCTAGGCTCCCCTCCTCACACCTGCCCCATCTCCTGCCTCCACACACTCTCCCTGGTCCCCAGGTCCCCCTGCAGCCCACCTCTGCGCTCTGCTCTCCATCTGAGCACCTGAGTCACCAGGATGATGAGGACCAGGAAGAGAAGGGCCCCGAGGATGAGGCAGAGGACCCCAGGCAGGGAGAAGAAGCCAGGGAGAGGACTTGAAACTGGTCTGGACCCTAAAGAGAACAAGGCAACAGGGTGTGGAGAAGGTCCTGGGCACAGAGAAACCCCCTGTGCCAGCATTTCCAGGGGCTCCAGACGATGGCGTTCAGCCTCAGACACAAGTGCACTGACAGTGACCTGGCTCCCCAAGGTCTCATCTTGAGATGAGTCAACTCAACTCCGGCCAGTGTGGCCCCGAGGCAGAGCCGGGGATTGTCAGGGAGCCGCCCTGCCGAGACAGCCTCTGAGGACCCAGCTCATCTCTTCTCCTTGGGCTTCAGGAGACAGAGCGTCAAACAGTCCTGGGACCCGCACCTCACTGATGAGGAGCAACACTCAGGGGCAGACGGGAGAACCTTAGATTCTGCAACACAGGAGCCCGTCTCCCTAGTATCCCAGTCATGAGAAAAACGTGGCCGCAGGAACCAAGGCAGAGGAGTTCCCCAACATGTCGCCCTGGGCTCCGCCCCACCAGCCAGGGCTCCTCAGGCTCTTTCCTCTCCTGAGCTGTCAGAGGGCCCACAGAACAGGCCCCCAGACCTGAGTATTCTCTCCTGCCCGTGGGTGTTCACAAGTACCTGCTGCAGTCGGGGGCACTGTTTTCCTTACACCTAAAGAGAAAAACAGCAGTGTGAGGAAAGGGAATTGGCCAGGATTCAGGGCAGCCCATTTTTCTCTCCTGAGCCTGAAATCACCCCTCAGGTTCCACAACACCAGGGTCCAGTCCTCCCAGCTCCCCTGTCCTAGATCAGAGCCCCAGCGCCCGGACACTGTCTGAACACAAACTCCCCACCAGGTCCGGCCCAGCCCACTCCCCGCGCTGCCCCAGCTCACCCAGGGTGGACCCGCGCCCCTCACTCACCCAGGGAGGACCCGCGCCCCTCACTCACCAGGGCGAACCCGCGCCCCTCACTCACCAGGGCGGACCCGCGCCCCTCACTCACCAGAGCACCTCACCCCGCGCCCCTCACTCACCAGGGCGGACCCGCGCCCCTCACTCACCAGAGCACCTTACCCCGGCGTCCTCCTCATGCTTGCAGTTGCTCTGCCCCCAGGGCCCCGCGGCACAGGCCCACAGGGAGGACTCCCGGCCCCCGCACCGCACCTCGTCCAGCCAGATGCTCCCGTTTCCAGGGCCAAATGCCGCGGCCCGCACGGCTTCCAGGGCCGGGCCACAGCCCAGCTGCTGACACACCACCTCGGCCTCTGCCAGGCTCCAGGAGTCATCGCACACGGTGCCCCAGGAGCCGCTGTGCCAGACCTCCACCCGCCCTGAGCACTCGCTGTCTCCTCCCCTGAGCCGGAGCTTCTCTCTGTCTGAAAAGGCAGCAGCCCCTCCTGTGACTCCCCTGGTGGGAGGAAGGAGCCCCTGGGAGCCCTGGGGAGGGGGCGGGGCTGACGTACCTGTGCAGGGGGCAGCAGCTGGACAGCTCTTGGGTCTTCTTCCTGCAAACAACAGGGAAACAGTGGATCAGGAACAGCTGGGTGTGGTCTTGTCCCCAAAAGAGATTATCTAAGGTCTGACTCAGTGCAAAGGACACATGAAAACACAGGCTTACTATCTCCTGGGCTGACACTCACTGCATCTGATCACCAGCTGAAATTACTTTAAATATTTACTTGTTTATCAGTCTTCACATTCCCACAGCAAATATAAACACAGACATCTACAAATGTACACACACACACCCCTCTGAATGAAAGTTCCATTAGAAGAATGACCTTGTATATCTTATATATGCCATGTTTCTGCTGTCAGGACAGTGCCTGCACATTGTAGGCACTCATTCACCAAATATCTATGGAAAACCTTTGCTAAATACCTAGATACACGCTTGATAAATATTTATTGAACGAATGAATAGATGAATAAAATTCAATAAAATAAAACTTTAAATTCACACTAATCAGTGAAATAGTAAACCAAATATAAATGAATGGAAATAGTCTATGATAATAGCTCATATTAAAATAATCAGCCCAGAAGAACAGAGTTAATTTATATTCAAAATTTCACATATGTAATTTTAATGGAAAATTATTAGATAGATTATAAGCTACTCTAACCTACTATTCAGGGTAACAAGTGGGCAAGTAAAGACTACTGTTGTAAAAGGAAACTCTTTTTTAAATTTATTTTAATTGAAAGATAATTGATCTACAACGCAGTGTTGGTTATGTATGTGTGTTAGTTGCTCAGTCGTGTCTGACTGTTTGTGACATATGGAATGCAGCCCACCAGGCTACACTGTCCATAGGATTTTCCAGGCAAGAATACTGGAGTAGATTGCTATTCCTTTCTCTGCTGGATCTCCCCTACCCAGAAATCGAACCCAGGTCTCCTGCACTGCAGGCAGTTTCTTTGCTGTCTGAGCCACCAGAAAAGCCCATAGTGTTGGTTAGGAATCCCTTAAAAAGGAAATATACAGGAAAGACTTAGAATTCTAAGAAGATATATGTACACACATATGCACACAGAGTAAGGCAAAAATTTTTGCAATAAAGTAAAAAAAAACCTACTGAGAAAAATTTGTATTGAGAAGATGCAGAAATAACAAACAAAAGACTGAAAAGTATGTATAAAAGAATTGAAGCTGAGAGAAATCAATACAAATTCAAAGCAACACAAAAAACCAGAAGGGTAAATAGTACCTGTCATAAAGTATCAAAATTTGTATATTCTTTCCAGATCATCCTATCAAACCTCCTACCCACTCTACGTAGAGAACCTCTGAGAAAATGATGGTGGGACCTTTGTGAGGGTGTTGCTCATTTTCATGGTCAAAGACTTTACCACCTCTCAATTCTCAGTGTTTAATTGTAGGAAAAATATCATCAATAAAAGGTCTAATAGTTTAATGCCTCTTTGGCTTTCAAATGGAAAAGACAAAGAGATGAAAAAAGAGAGGCAAGGAAGGGAGTGAGCCTCTGCTTTTGAAGTATCTGTCCCCACATTCTCTTAGCTATGGGTTTCAGGCAACATCCAGCATACCATTCAAGGTGTACCTGAATTAGGGTGTGTGTGTTTGTGTATGTGAAGGGGGAGGGAAGGAGAGAGAGAAACAGAGAGAAGTGTTGAAGGAAGTAAGGTTCTATGGTTTGACTATTTGTTGCCCTCCCCAACACTTATTTATTTCATTCAACATTTATTTTCAAAATCCCAATTCCCAATGTAACAGCATTTAGTGGTGGAGCCTTCTCAAACTCTTCCAAAAACAGAAGAAAGAAACACTTCCAAATTCATTTTATGAGGCCAACATTATTCTGATACCAAACCCAGATAAGGACACCACAAGAAAAGAAGATTACGGGCTAATACTCTGATAAATATAGGTGCAAGAATCCTCAACAAAATATTAGAAAACTGAATTTGACAATACACTAAAAGAATCATACACCATAATCAAGTGATGTTTGTTCCAAGGATACAGGATAGTTCAACATTCACAAACTAATCAATGTGATACACCAAATAAACAAAACAAAGGTAAAAATCATATCTCAAAAGATGCAGAAAAAATGTTTGACAAATTCAAAATCCATTTATGATAAAAACTCTTTTACAAAGTAGTTATAGAAGGATTGCATCTCAATATAATTAAGGCCATATGAGAAGTTCACAGCTAACATCATATTTGACTGTACAAACCCAAAAGCTTTTCCTCTGAAATCAAACACAAGACAAAATTATCTACTCTCACCACTTTTATTCAGCTTAGTTTTGGTAGTCCCATCCAGATCCATCAGGCAATAAAAGAAAATCAGACATCCAAATCTGAAAGGAAGAGGCAAAACTGACACTATTTGCACACTGAAAAGTGAAAGTGTTAGTCGCTCAGTCATCTCTGATTCTTTGCTACCCCAAGGACTGCAGCCTGCCAGGCTTCTCTGCCCATTGGGATTCTCCAGGCAGGAATACTGGAGTGGGTTGCCATTCCCTCCTCCAGGGGATCTTCCCAACCCAGGGATCAAACCTGGGTCTCTTGCATTGCAGATGGATTCTTTACCATCAGAGTCATGAGGAAGGAGACTCCTTTACATGATATTATATATAGAAAACCCTAAAGACTTCACTAAAAATATGAGAATTAATACACTCAGTAAAGTTGTAGAATGAAAAATCTATATACAAAAATCAGTTGCCTTTCTATGCACTAACAACAAACTGCCATAAGGAGAAACTGAGAAAACAATTCTATTTGAATTTGCATGAAAATGAAAAAATATCGAGGAATAAATTTAACCAAGGAAGCGAAAGACCTGTACACTGAAAACTATAAGACACTGATGAAAGATACTGAAGAAGACTCAAATAAATGGAAAGATATTCTGTGCTCATAGATTGGAAGATCTAATATTATTAACATGCCCATACTACCCAAAGCAATCTACAGATTCACTGCAATCCTTACCAAAATTCCAATGGAAATTTTCACAGATACAGACAAACAATCCTAAAATTTTCATGGAACCACAAAAGACACTGAATACCAAAGCAATCTTGAGAAAGAGTAACAAAGCTGGAAGTGTCATGCTTCCTGTTTTCAAACTATATTACAAAGCTATATTAGTCAAAACAGTATGTTGTTGGCATAAAAATGGACACAGAGATCAAAGGAACAGAATAGAGAGCCCAAAAATGAACCCACATTTGTACAATCAATTAATTTTTGACAAAGAAGCCAAAAATATACAATGAGGAAAGGACAGTTTTTTCAGTAAATGGCATTGGGAAAACTGGACAGCCACATGCAAAATAATGAAACAGAACCACTATCTTACACCACTCACAAAAATTAACTCAAAATACATTAAAGACTTGATCACAAGTCCTGAAGCCATAAAATTTCTACAGGCAAAATCAGAAAATAAAATCATTGACATCAGTCTTCCTGAGGATTTTTTGGATTTGACACCAAAATCAAAGAGAACAAGAGTAAAAACAAGCAGTTGGGACCACATAAGGCTAAAAAGCTTCTGCCCAATTAAGGAAACAATCAACAAAATGAAAAAGCAACCTATGGAATTAGAGAAAATATTTACATATTATATTTCTGATAAAAATTAGTATCCAAAATATACAAGGAACTCACACAACTCAGTAGCAAAAATCAAACAATATGACTTTCAAAAAATGTGCAGAGAACCTGATAAATATATTTTTTTAAAGAATACATACAACTTGCCGATAGGTACATGAAAACGTGCTCAACACTACTAATCATCAGAAAATACAGATCAAAGCCACAATGAGATATGACCTCATATCCTCTAGAAAGGCTTTTATCAAAAAGAAGAAATAACAGGAGTTGAGGAGAATGTGAAGAGACAGGAAAGCTTTTGCACAGTTAGAGGGAATGTAAGTTGATGCAACCCCTATGGAAACAGTATTGACGTGCATCAAAAATTAAAAATAGAATTGCCATACGATTTGGCAATTTCACTTTGGGGTATTCATCTGACAGAAACATTAACTTGAAAAACCAATGTTCACTGCAGCAATATTTGTTCAGTTGCTAGGTTGTGTCTGACTCTTTGCAACCCCATGGACTGCAGCACTCCAGGTTCCTCTGTCCTTCACTATCTCCCAAAGTTTGCTCAAATTCATCTCCACTGAATTGGTGATGCTATCTAACTATCTCATCCTCTGTGGCCCCACTTCTCCTTTTGCCTTCAGTCTTGCTCAGCATCAGGGTATTTTCCAACAAGTCAGCTCTTCTCATCAGGTGGCCAAAGTATTGGAGCTTCAGCTTCAGCATCAGTCCTTCCAATGAATATTCCGAGTTGATTTCCTTTAGGATAGACTGGTTGGATCTCCATGCTGCTCAAGACACTCTCAATTCAATTGTGGCATCCAAGCACCACAATTCAAAAGCATCAACTCTTGGGCACTCAGCTTCTTTATAATCCAACTCTCACATCCATACATGACTAGTGAAATAAACATCACTTTGACTATATGGGCCTTTGTCTGCAAAGTGATGTCTCTGCTTTTTAATACTCTGTCTAGGTGTGTCATAGCTGTCCTTCCAAGAAGAAGCCTCTTTTAATCTCATGGCTGCGGTCACCATTGGCAGTGACTTTGGAGCCCAAGAAAAGAAAATCTGTTTCCATTTTCTCCCTTTTTATTTGCCATGAAGTGATGGGGCCAGATGCCATGATCTTAATTTTTAGAATGTTGAATGTTGAGCTTTAAGCCAGCTTTTTCACTCTCCTCTTTCACCCTCAACAAGAAGCTCTTTAGTTCCTCTTCTCTTTCTGCCAATAGAGTGGTATCATCTGCGTATCTGAGGTTGTTGATGTCTCTCACAACAATCTTGATTTCAGCTTGTGATTCATTCAGCCTGGCAGTTCCCATGATGTACTCTACATATAAGTTAAATAAACAGGGTGACAATATACAACCTTGACAAATTCCTTTCCCAATTTTGAACCAGTCAGTTGTTTATGTCCAGTTCCAACTGTTGCTTCTTGACCTGCATACAGGTTTCTCAGGAGGCAGGTAAGGTGCTCTGGTATTCTCCTCTCTTTAAGAAATTTCAACAGTTCGTTGTGATCCACATAGTCAAAGGTTTTAGTCTAGTCAAGGAAGCAGACGTTTTCCTGGAATTCTCTGGCTTACTCTATGATTCAACAAATGTTGGCAATTTGATCTCTTGTTCCTCTGCCTTTTCTAAACCCAGCTTGTACATCTTGGCAGTCCTCAATTCACTTATTGCTGAAGCCTAGCTTGAAAGACTTTGAGCATAACCTTGCTAGCATGTGAAATGAGCACAACTGTGCAGTAATTTGAACATTTGTGGCAATGCCCTTCTTCAGGATTGGAATGAAAATTGACCTTCTCCAGTCCTGTGGCCACTGAAGAATTTTCCAAATTTGCTGATATATTGACTGCAGCACTTTAACAGCATTACTTTTTAGTATTTTATAGCAATATATACAAGAGCCAAACAAGGTAAGTCTTCACTGATGGATGAATGGATAAAGAAAATGTAATATAGACATATATCCACCCATAAAAAAGAAGAAAATTTTGCCAGTTTCAACAAGGATGGACTTTGAGGGCATTATGCTAAGTGAAACAAATCAGACAGAGAAAGAAAAATACCATAAAATCTCATTTATATGTGTAATCATAAAGCAAAAAGCAAGTTCAGAGATACTGAGTATCTCTGGTAGCTGCCAGAGATGGGGGATTTGGTGTGGGCAAGTGTAGTAAAAAGGTATAAAATTGAGTTATAAACTTAACAGGCCAAGAGATATAACATACAGCATGGTGACTATAGTGAATACCATACAGTCTATTTGAAAGATGATGAGAAAATACATCTTAAACATCCTCATCATATAAGAAAAATATTTAACTATATATATGGTTATGGATATAACTTACACAGACTTACTGTAGTGATCATTTATCAATATACACAAATATATAAGCATTATGTTGTACACAGCAGCAATATAATGTTATGTCAATTATATCAATTAAAAACTTTTAATAAAGCAAGTTTGGAACATGTGGATTAAATTAGCTCCATCCAAACTTCATTTTATAAACTCAACTTGAACACATCACTTAGATTTTAAAAGATCAAATCTCACTAATAACACCCCACAGGGTTGCGACAGACACAGAAACAGACATGAGTCACCTGCACATGAGATGTAGGCTTCCTCCTTTGGAGAGCATGAACTGTATTTCCATGGGCCAGAAGGACACTGCCAGAGAGAGGTATCAGTTTTCCGACATTGGATTAAATCTACCCACCGGGGTCTAGAACCTTCCCTGAGACCAACAGAAGTGTAGAGACTTCCACTGTCCCCACAGCCAAGTTGACTGCAGATGATGGACACGGTGACCTCATCCATGGGGCTGCGGCAGACACTGCCCCAGGTCCCGTTGTAGAAAACTTCCAACCACCCAGCACACTCCTGGTCCTCGCTGACCATCCTGAGGGCCAGGAACTCTAAGATCAAAATGGAGAAGACAGGACACAGTGAGCACTTCACTCAGTGCTCCAGGTTTTCCTCTCTCCCCAAAATTGTGAACACTCATCTGTGACCCAGCTGAAGAAGCAAATCCATTAGATAACCAGAGTGAAACCTGTCTCCTTTTTATCTGAATTTGTCCATCTGTGTCTGTCTTTCTAAATATTTCTACCACCATGATGTAGTGGATATGAACTGTGAGGAAGACCAGCCTGGACATCTGCAGGGAGAGGCAGCTGACTCCTGCTTCCTGACAAAACATCTAAAAGAGTGTATAAAGGGATGTGATGTGGAAAGTGTGGAGGCAGACAGAAAATGGACCTGTGACTGTTTCCTTATCTGGCAAAGGGGACTTTACAGATGTGATTAAGGTAAGGACCTTGAGATTAACCTGAAATATGGTGGATTAACCAGATGAGCACAGTCTAATCACATTCTTAGACTCACTATCCTTTACAGTGTAATACTTTTCCTCGTTCTGCTAGAGGGAGATGTGAATATGTATAACAGTTAGAGAGGTGGAGCACTGCTGGTCTGATGATGAACAGAAGGGCGTTATGAACAAAGGCAGGCAGGCAGTTTTTAGAAGCTTGAAAAGACAAGAAACAGATTCTTTCCCAGAGGCTCAGAAGTGATGTGACCCTCCTGAAACTTTGAACCCATCCAGTGAGATTTCTGCTGGTCATCCAAGCTACAGAAGTGTAAGGAAAGAAATGTGTTGTTTTAAACCATTAACTATGTGGTAATTTGTTACAAAACAAAAAAAAACTAGCACCCAGGCTTTAAGACTTCTCTACCATATGTACCAGAAGAGTGAGCCCTGATTTCAAGGAAAACTGAGAAAACCTTCTGCCAGGAAAAACTACTGAGAAGAAATGACCAGAATTTCAGCTGCTGCAGGAGGAAGTAAAAGCACCTCGTCTTCATGTCTGCTGGAAATACAGGTTCCATGGGGGGAAGCTTCCTTCTCAGGTCCTTTCAGCATCTCTCCCTCAGGGTTCAGACTCCCGTCCTCCAGGGCCCCACCCCTCCCCTAGCCTGTGGACAGTGTGGAGTGCTGACCTGAGCAGATGACCCCCGCGTCCTCCTTGTGTCTGCAGTCGTGCCGCCCCCAGCCCCGGGAAGGGCACTTCCACACGTGGGATTCCTTTCCTGTGCAGTTTAGGTCGTCCAGCCAGATGGGCCCTGACCCTGCCCCAAAGTGAGCAGACTCCGTGGCATTGAGGGCTTCTCCACAGCCTAGCTGCCTGCACACCACGTGAGCATCCTCCAGGTCCCAGCCGTCATCACAGATGGTGCCCCAGGAGCCGTGGTCAAAGATCTCCACTCTCCCGGCGCAGGGACCGCCCCCGTCCACCAGGCGGAGCTGTCTGCTGTCTGACGAGAGAGAAATAGGACAATGGGGCGGTGACCTGGGGAATGGGAAGGGTCTTCTGTCCTGTGGGACCCTCACCTGAGCAGTAGGGGGCGCTCTCCTCTGAGGCCGCAGAGCCTGCTACTTCAGACAGGGAGTCATTGCACTGGGGCAGCACCTGGGTGTAGTTTCCTGAAGAAACAGTGATGATAAGAGGGTTGAGAAGGTTGAAGATCAAGTAACTCAGTTGAGCTAAATAATTTTTAGGAGAGGAGGGGAGTTTGGGGGGAAATGGATATATGTATGGCTGAGTCCCTGGCTATTCACCTGAAACTATAACAACATTGTTAGTCGGCTAAACCCAATACAAAGTAAAAAGTGCAAAATAGAAAAACAATAATAATAATGACCTAATGATGGAGCTGAGATGAAAGCTGTAACATACCAGTAAAGTTATCATAATCTTAGTGTTCCCTTTCTCTATGAACAGTCCTGGTCCTGACAATACCATGATTCCTGTTTTAAGCCAAGCTTTGCCCTAAGAATGAGTTAAATAAGTTGCTCTATCCTTAACCTACCCCTAAATAGAAGAAGCAAAACAAAATCCTTTCTGAAGGATTTGTACAAAATTTTTAATCTACAATGTTTGTGATTTTAAAAACACTTATATAAAAGAGATCTCATGGAAAACAAGAGGGAAAAGAAACATTAAAAAAAAATTCCCAGGGTATTTGGCTCTTAGAGTTACCTGACAGAGAATTTATTTTATTTATTTTTATTAATTTTTGTTCGAGAATAATTGCTTTACAATGTTGTGGTAGCTTCTACTGTACAGCAAATTTAATAAGTTATAATACATGTATGGGTTTCCTAGGTGACTCAGTGGTAAAAAATCTGCCTGACAAATAGGAGACTGGGCTTCCATCCCTGGTTGGGAAGACCCTCTGGGGAAAGACATAGCAACCCACTCAAGTATTCTTACCTGGGAAATCCTATGGACAAAGGAGTGTGGCGGGCTACAGTCCATGGGGCCACAAAAGAGTCAGAAGCAACTCAGCGACCAAAAAACAACAATAACACATATATATATCTCCCCTCTTCTTGGATTTACTTCCTACTTAAGTCACCACAGAGCACTGAGTAGAGTTCCCTGTGCTATACAATAGGTTATTATTTATCTATTTTATGTGTTCAATTCAGTCGCTCAGTCCTGTCCAACTCTTTGCAACCCCATGAACCGAAGCAGGCCAGTCCTCCCTGTCCATCACCAACTCCCAGAGTCCACCCAAACCCATGCCTATTGAGTCGATGATGCCATCCAACCTTCTCATCCTCTGTCATCCCCTTCTGCTCCTGCCTTCAATCTTTCCCAGCATATGGGTCTTTTCCAATGAGTCACCTCTTCACATCAGGTGGCCAAAGTATTGGCATTTCAGCTTCAACATCAGTCTTTCCAATGAACACCCAGGACTTATCTCCTTTAGGATGGGCTAGTTGGATCTCCTTGCAGCTGGATCTCTCAAGAGTCTTCTCCAACCCCCACAGTTCAAAAGCATCAATTCTCCTGTGCTCAGCTTTCTTTATAGTCCAACTCTCACATCCATACATGACCACTGATAAAACTATAGCCTTGACTAGAAGGACATTTGTTGGCAAAGTCTATGTGTGCATGTATGCTAAGTCACTTCAGTCGTGTCTGACTCTGTGACACTATGGATTGTAGCCCATCAGGCTCCATGTCTACGGGATTCTCCAGGCAATATCTATTTTATACTTAGTATCAATAGTGTAGGGCTTCTGAGTCTGATGGCTCAGGCAGTAAAGAATCCGCCTGCAATGCAAGAGAACTGGGTTTGATCCTTGGGTTGGGAAGATCCCCTGGAGGAGGGTATGGCAACCCACTCCACAATTCTATCCTGGAGAATCCCCATGGACAGAGGAGCCTGGCAGGCTACAGTCCAAGGGGTTGCAGAGTCAGATATGACTCAGCGACTAAGTGCACAGCACAGCACATCAATAGTGTATATATGTCAATCTCAATGTCCCAGTTCATCCCACTCTTCATTTCCCCTCTTAGTATCCATATGATGTTCCCTATTTTGGTGTCTCTATTTCTGCTTTGCAGTAAGTTCATCTCTACCATTTTTCTAGATTCCTATATAAGTGATGTTATACAGTATTTGTTTTTCTTTTTCTGATTTACTTCATCTACATAACAATCCTATTTCAAATCCTAAAAGATGATGCTCTGAAAGTGCTGCACGCAATATGCCAGCAAATTTGGAAAACTCAGCAGTGGCCACAGGACTGGAAAAGGTCAGTTTTCATTCCAATCCCAAAGAAAGACAATGCCAAAGAATGCTTAAACTACCACACAACTGCACTCATCTCACACACTAGCAAAGTAATGCTCAAAATTCTCCAAGCCAGGCTTCAACAACACGTGAACCGTAAATTTCCAGATGTTCAAGCTGGTTTTAGAAAAGACAGAGGAACAAGAGATCAAATTGCCAACATCCGCTGGATCCTCAAAAATGCAGGAGAGTTCTAGAAAAAAAACATCTATTTCTGCTTTATTGGCTATGCCAAAGCCTTTGACTGTGTGCATTACAATAAACTGTTGAAAATTCTAAAAGAGGTGGGAATACCAGACCACCTGACCTGTTTCTTGAGAAATCTGTATGCAGGTCAGGAAGCAACAGTTAGAACTGGACATGGAACAACAGACTGGTTCCAAACAGGAAAAGTAGTACGTCAAGGCTGTATATTGTCACCCTGCTTATTTAACTTATATGCAGAGTACATCATGAGAAATGCTGGGCCGGATGAAGCACAAGCTGGAGCCAAGATCGCTGGGAGAAATATCAATAACCTCAGATATGCAGATGACACCACCCTTATAGCAGAAAGTGAAGAAGAACTAAAGAGCCTCTTGATGAAAGTGAAAGAGGAAGGTGAAAAAGTTGGCTTAAAGCTCAACACTCAGAAAACAAAGATCATGGCATCCGGTCCCATGACTTCATGGCAAAGAGGTGGGGAAACAGTGGCTGACTTTATTTTTTTGAGCTCCCAAATCACTGTAGATGTTGACTGCAGCCATGAAATTAAAAGACGCTTACTCCTTGGAAGAAAAGTTATGACCAACCTAGATAGCATATTAAAAAGCAGAGACATTACTTTGCCAACAAAGGTCTATCTAGTCAAGGCTTTGGTTTTTCCAGTGGTCATGTATGGATATGAGAGTTGGACTATAAAGAAAGCTGAGCATCAAAGAATTGATGCTTTTGAACTGTGGTGTTGGAGAAGACTCTTGAGAGTCCCTTGGACTGCAAGTTGATCCAACCAGTCCATCCTAAAGGAGATCAGTCCTGAATGTTCATTGGAAGGACTGATGCTAAAGCTGAAGCTCTAGTACTTTGGCCACCTGATGTGAAGAACTGACTCATTGGAAAAGACGCTGATGCTAGGAAAGATTGAGAGCAGGAAGAGAAGGTGACAACAGAGGATGAGGTTGCTGGATGGCATCACCAACTCAGTGGACATGAGTTTCAGTAATCTCCGGGAGTTGGTGATGGACAGGGAGGCCTCTTGTGCTGCAGTCAATGGGGTCGCAAAGAGTCGGACACGACCGAGTGACTGAACTGAACTGAACGAGCATAACAATCTCTAGGTCTATCCATGTCTCTGCAAATGACACAACTTTATTCTTTTATGACTGAGTAATATTCCACTTTATATATGTACAACATCTTCTCTATCCATTCCTCCTGTGAGGGACATTTAGGTGCTTCTGTGTCCTGGCTGTTGTCAATAGTGCTGCAGTGAACATCAGGACGAATGTGTCTTTTTGAATGATGATTTTCTCCAGGTACATGCCCAGGAGTGGGACTGCTGAGTCATATGATATCTCTATTTTTAGTTTTTTGAGGAACCTCCATACTGTTCTCCATAGTAGTTGTGCCAATTTACATACGCATATGTAGGAGGAGTCCCTTTTCTGCACATTCTCTCCAGCATTTATTGTTTGTAGATTTTTTAAATGATAGACATTCTGAATGGTGTGAAATAATACCTGACTGCAGTTTTGCATCTCTCTGAAACTCCAGTACTTCGGCCACCTCATGCGATGAGTTGACTCATTGGAAGAGACCCTGATGCTGGGAGGGATTGGGGGCAGGAGGACAAGGGGATGACAGAGGATGAGATGGCTGGATGGCATCACCAACTCGATGGGCATGAGTTTGAGTAAACTCCGGGAGTTGGTGATGGACAGGGGGGCCTGGTGTGCTGCGGTTCATGGGGTTGCAAAGAGTCGGACACCACTGAGCGACTGAACTGAACGGAACTGAATAATTAGTGATGTTGAACATCTTTCCATGTATTTGTTAGCCATCTGTATGTCTGGAGAAATGTCTGTTTAGGTCTTTTTCCCATTTTTTAATTGGGTTGCTTGGTTTGTTGATATTGAGTTGTTTGTGCATTTTCAAGATTAGTCGCTTGTTAGTTGCTTCATTTTAGTGGCAAATATTTTCTCCCATTCTGACAGTTGTCTTTTTGTTCTGTTTATGGTTTCCTTTGCTATGCAAAAGCTTTTAAGTTTAACTGGGTCCTCTTTGTTTATTTTTGTTTCTATTTTCTTTACTCTAGAATGTTGGTCAAAAAAGATCTCGTTGCAATTTATGTCGAAGAATCTTCTGCCTATGTTTTCCTCTAAGAGTTTTATAGTCTGACAGAGAATTTAAATAGCCATGATTAAAGTGCATCAAGAATTAATTAACAAGATGTGTGTCTTGTCAGAGAAATGATAACAAAAGCAAATGAAAATTCTATAGCTGAAATTAAGAACTAGAGAATGAGTCTACCAGCACATTAGATCAATATAAAGTAGAAATAGTAAAATGGAAGATGAGAGGATAAGTGTTCCTCTATATAGAAAAGCTGATCACATGGTAAGTGCCTGGTTAACAATACTGTATAAAAAAAGTTACCCCCCAAACTTAGCAGTTGAAGGATTTTTTTATAAATTTTAATCATGATTTTCTGGTCAGTGATTTGGGAAAGACTCAACTTGGCAGTTCTATCTTTGGGGTTTCTCATGTGGTTGCACTTAGATGTTATCTGGGGCTGATATCTCTAAAGGTTTGATTGAACTGTGATTATGTAAGGAAATTCCCTGAAGTATTTTTTTGTTGTTGGGGAAGGGGAGGGATAAAGGAGCATCCTGTCTGCAACTTAATCCAGAAAGATTTTACATGCTCAGGGGGAAAATGGGGCAGGAGAGAAACAAAGGAGGAGAGAGAGGGAAAGCTAGAGCCAGACAGAGAAAGAGAGAGAAAACTAGAGTGAGAGAGAGTGGGGGCGGAAAGAAAGAAAGAAGGATTAAAGCAAAATACTAACCTAATATTTGGGGAATCCAGATGAAGTTCAGAGACAATTCATTCCTAGAAAACCTTCACTAAAGGAAATACTAGTAACATCAAATGCATAAAATGCCTAGGAGAAAACCTAGGTAAAGATGTGCAAAACATCTGAGAGAAATTCAAGACCTAACTGAATGAAAGGATATATTTTGCCAATGAATTGGGAAACTCAATGTTTTGTCAAAATAAGTCATTCTCAAATTTATATACAGATTAAAGCTAACCTCAATAGAATTCCCTGATGCTTTTGTGTGTGTGAAACATGACAAGATGATTCAAAATTTATGTTGTTGTTCAGTCACTCAGTCATATCTGACTCTTTGCAACCCCATGGACTGCAGCACGCCAGGCTTCCCTGTCCATCACCAACTCCCAGAGGTTACCCAAACTTGTGTCCATTGAGTCAGTGATGCCATCCAACCATCTCATCTTCTGTTGTTCCCTTCTCCTCCTGCCTTCAGTCTTTCCCAGCATCAGGGTCTTTGCTAGTGAGTCAGCTCTTCACATCAGGTGGCAAAGTACTGGAGCTTCAGCTCAAAAATGTACACAAAATACAAAAACCAAGAATGACCAAGGCAGTTAGCAAGAACAACAACAACATAACTTCTTTAAATTAAAGTTACCCAGATTTACTATGTGTGCTTAGTCACTCGGTCATTTCCGATTCTTTGTGACACAGGGGACTATAGCCTGCCAAGCTCTTCTCTCCATGGGGACACTCCAGGCAAGAATACTGGAGTCGGTTGACATGCCCTTCTCCAGGGGATCTTCCCAACCCAGGGATCAAACCCAGGTCTCCCGCCTTGCAGACAGATTCTTTACCATCTGAGCCACGAGGGAAGGTTCAAGATTTACTATAAAGTTACAATAATTAAGAAAACATGGGGAATAAAAAAAGAAAATGTGGGACAGGTGCAAGGATTGACAAATGACACAGTGGAACAGAATAGAGAGTCTAAAAGAAGTACTCAGACATATGTGCCCTTTCATTCATCACAAAGGTGGCACTGCAGTAGGGAATAGTCTTTCCAGAAAAAGATTTTGAGTCAACTGGATGCCCATATGAAAGCATGACACTTGACCCTTATCCTACACAGTTATCAATATAATTATATGCAAGAGAAAAGTAATTACACTTCTGTGAGATACTCTCAGAGAACATTTTTGTGATTTTGGAGTAGACAAAGTTCTTTCTAGAAGGATATAAGGAGCTCTGTGGACTGGAACAATGGACTGTTTCAAAACTGAGACAAAAGTACATCAAGGTTGTATATTGTCACTCTGCTTATTTAACTTCTATGCAGAGTACGTCATGCGAAATGCCGGGATGGATACAGCACAAGCTGGAGTCAAGATTGCTGGGAGAAATATCAATGACCTCAGATATGCAGATGACACCACCCTTATGGCAGAAAGTGAAGAGGAATTAAAGAGTCTCTTGATGAAAGTGAAAGAGGTGAGTGAAAATGTTGGCTTAAAACTCAACATTCAGAAAATGAAGATCATGGCATCTGATCCCATCACTTCATGGAAATAGATGGGGAAACAATGAAAACAGTGACAGACTTTATTTTCTTGGACTCCAAAATCACTGCAAATGGTGACTGCAGCCATGAAATTAAAAGATGCTTGCTTCTTGGAAGAAAAGCTATGACAAACCTAGATAGCATATTAAGAAGCAGAGATGTCACTTTGCCAACAAAGGTCCAACAAAGCTATAGTTTTTCCAGTAGTTATGTATGGATGTGAGAGTTGGACCATAAAGAAAGTTGAGCGCTGAAGAATTGATGCTTGTGAACTGTGGTGTTGGAGAAGACTCTTGAGAGTCCCTTGAACTTCAAGGATATTAAACCAGTCAATCCTAAAGGAAATCAGTCCTGAATATTCATTGGAAGGACTGATGCTGAAATTGAAGCTCTAATACTTTGGCCAGATGATGGGAAGAACTGATTCATTGGAAAAGAACCTGATGCTGAAAAATATTGAAGGCAGGAGGAGAAGGAGATGACAGAAGATGAGATGATTGGGTGGTATCCCCAACTCAATGGATATGAGCTTGAGCAAGCTGCGGGAGATAATGAAGGACAGGAAAGCTTGATGTGCTGCAGTCCATGGGGTCAAAAAGAGTCAGACATGACTGAGCAACTGAACTGAACTGACTGACTGAAGGAGAACTACATGTACAGTAAAAAAGGTGATAAGTCAAACTTAAGATTAGTAACTTGGCTCACTGAAGTACAGCATACAATTAGGAAAATAAAAATATAAGACAGAATTTAACACACAAAAAACATAATAAATATTTCTTCCAAAAGTCATCATCATGGTAATTTGCACCATTGTATTTGTAATAGTCAAAACCTGGCAACAAACTTAAATCTCTGCCATTAGTTGAATGGATCAACGCATGGTCATGTGATCATTCAAAGGAATACTCTATCGTAATAAAAATGAATACAATGTTGCCATAAACAACATCATGAGTGAATTTCAAAGGCAATTTGAAATCAAAGAAATTAGACATGAAAGAAAACATTCTGTATGGTTATACATAAAGTTCAAAAACTGACAAATTATTCTATGGCAGTACAAGTCTTAGGTAAGCAATCTTCCCTGGAGAGGAGGAGGACACAGCTATTGGGAGGCAAGTGATTCTGTGGTGCTGTGAATGTTCTCTTTGTAGATCTGGGTTGGGGAACATGACCTAGGTATACACTTACTGTTTGTACTTTGTTCTCTATTATTATCCTTAAATAATAATGTTTCAAAAAATATTATTCATCTAAGTATTTCTTTCCCAGACATAGCCCTTCTTAGCATTTCTTAGCACTTCTTTCCCTTGAGAAAATGATTGAACAATGAGAAGGTTATGGAGCAAGACCTTAACAGAGCCTTCTCAGGACAGACCACCCTCATGTCTTCCACTTGCTTCTGTCTGTAGAAAATCCTTAGCCAAAGAATCAATTTAATCACAGAAAAGAAAAAAATTTCAGAAACAAAGGAAAACCATCAAATAGGATAAAAGAATAATAGTTTAACCCTAAACAAAGTCAAGGATTTTTAGTTCCTCCTCATGGGCTATAGCTAACATTCTGAGCCATATCCTTTGAGCTGTTGTGCAGATACTGAAATCCCAACCAGGTGGTAGAAGTAAATTACATGATGACCAAACTAGTAGGGTGCCATTTCCTTCTCCAGAGGATCTTCCCAACCCAGGGATCAAACCTGAGTCTCTTGCATTGCAAGCAGATCCTTTACCATCTGAGTCAACAGGGAAGCCCATAATCTTCTTCATCTTACACAATTCCAAGAGTCGGCCTCAAGGAAATGGGAACAGACCGACATAGAACAGTTGATTAACTGTATTCCAAACAATAAAGGTGACACTGATCAGACCTATTTCAAGATGACTGTTGGAGCGAGCTGTGCTTTTCTGCAGGTAACCTGTCCCCTACCTCCACCTGTGCACTTCTGAAATCCCCATTTAAAAACTCTCGCCTCTGATCAGCAAGGGGGAGCTGGTTCTTTCTTACATTAGTCCTCTGTCTCCCAGAACTGCTGGTTTCCTCAATAAAGCTGTCTTTAATTTTACCCCACACTTGTCTCTCAGTGTTGGATTCTTGAGTAATGAGCAGCTGAAACCTGAGTTCAGTAACAAGAATAAACATTTCACTACAGAATATCTTTCTTTTTAAGCCTGTTTTCCCTTACTCTCTGCTTTGGGGACATTTCACCCCAAGAGCATCCTAAGTACAGTAGCCCTTCCCTGTCTTACCTGAGCAGATCACAGAGGCCGTGTTGCCATGGGAACAGTCAGGAACACCCAGGGCAGTCACAGGGCATTGCCACAGGAAGGACTCAGTCCCTGAGCAGTGAAATCGGGCTTTCCAGAGTTGATCACTTCCTTCTGCTCCATTTGGGGTGGAGATGGCAATGCCACAGCTGAGCTGACGACAGACAACATTGGCATTGGCCAGACTCCAGTGGGAGGCACAGAGAGCTCTCCATTGTCCAGAAATATTCATCTCCACCCGCCCCTCACACTGAGAGGTGCCATTTTTCATAAGCTGGACTTCTGTGTACACTGATAGAAAAAGACAGGATTTCAGCAAAATCTGATTTCTTTTTTAGCTTGAACTGAGTGTACATAAAGGATAAGTCCTGACATGCATCTCACCTGAACAGACAACCTGAGCAGCTCCACTATGGTGGCACATGCCCCCTGGACAGGGCACTCTGGGGCAGGACCAGAGCTTAGGCTCCTCCCCCTGACACCTGAACTCTTCAGCCCAGACCCGGCCATCAGATTCTCTGATGGGCTCGTGTCCCAGGACAGACACAGCCTTGCCACACCCCAGCTCTGCACAGATGACCTGGGCAATGGGGAGTGTGAAGTTCCCATCAGACACTGGGGTCCAGGCTTCTCCAGAACGCACTTCTACTCGCCCTGAGCAGGGTCCATCCCCTCCAGCCAGATGCACAAATCCTAAGAGAAACAAAGAACAACAAACCCAGTGAGTGTTCATGAACCTGGCTTGACAATTCGAAACAACATCTCACAGGCAATGGTGTGAAAGCTTTTTTTCACACCATAAAAGGGGATAAGAAGAGAGAATTTGCCTGTCATTGTCAAACTGCATTTTCATGAGCAAGTTTCTGAAGAGATATCCAGAAGGATTGAAGGATCCGTTCAGAATGGCTGAATCCCAAGAATATATATTTTGGTTATGAACGTGAATTCCTATCTTGGGGCCTGGAAACTACAGTGCCCAAAGAAACTGCACAGTGGTAGACATTCAAACTTGGGTACATAGCTGAACTGAGAGTTAAAAAGGTCCATGGGATTCAAGAGGTTAGAGGCCTAAGAGCCAGAGAAGTTTAGGAGTTTAGAGGACCATCTTGAGATTTCTGAGGCTAAAATTCTAGCCAGTTTTCTCTCAGAGCCAATATTCAAGTCACCGAGGACAGGGAAAATCACACGGGCTGGATCTGAATGCAGGTATTATAATCTAATTGTGAAATAAGTTGTCCACAGGTAGGTTTAGAAATGACAAATGATCAGAGAGTCATAGGAAAGGGAGGGAATGGTCCGAGCCATCTTTCTTAAAAACCTAGGATTTATCAAGACACCTGGGAGAAAGTGAGGTCTCAGTGGGATTATGCAAGACATAATCAGCCGGTGGACAAAGAACTGACCATACCTGAGCAGATGACTCCTGCATCTTCTTGATGATCGCAGTTGTGTTGCCGCCATCCCCAGGAAGGGCACCTCCACACTTGGGACTCCTCTCCTCTGCAGCTCACTTCATCCAGCCAGATGGGCCCTGATCCCGCCCCGAAGTAAGAAGAGACAGTGGCATCCAGGGCTTCTCCACAGCTCAGCTGCCTGCACACCACGCGGGCATCGTCCAGGTCCCAGCGGTCATCACAGATGGTGCCCCAGGAGCCCTGGTCCAGGATCTCCACTCTCCCGGCGCAGGGACCGCCCCCGTCCACCAGGCGGAGCTGTCTGCTGTCTGAGCAGAGAGAAATGGGACGATGGGTGATGACACCAGGGGTTGAGAAGGGTCTTCTGTCCTGTAGAACCCCCACCTGAGCAGTAGGGGGCGCTCTCCTCTGAGGCTGCTGACCCTGCTGCTTCAGACACGGAGTCGTTGCACTGGGGCAGCAGCTGGGTCTGGTTTTTTATACCAGTGGCAAGAGAATAATAAGGTTGGAAAATAGGAAGAAAATAAAACAGGAAATATTAAGTTTGAAAACACTCTAGTGAGTAGTCTGAGACAGAAGGTGGTATGAGGTCCTAACAGAGTTAACATTCTGATCTGTAGTTCTGCATAGCATCAGAGAAAGATTTACATGAAATGTTAGTCTCTCCACCTGGAGCAGTTAAATGAGTTCAGAGTCACAGGAATGAGCTGGCAGTGGATGGATTCCTTTCAAAGCACACACATTTTGATGCCATTGACCTAAGAGTTAAAGGGGTTGATTAAAGGGAGCAGAGTCAGGAACTGGCCTTATCAGATGCCTCAGACAGCAATCATGAATCCTCTACCATTAGAATCCTTCTCCCTGGTACAGTCAGTCAGAACTGAAAAACAAATGGATTCTGTGATATCTTGGTTTACCCCCAGAATATTTCATTTGTGGTTCTAACCTTCAGACTTCAGATCTGGATACTTACTTTCAAACAATGTGATCTCTTTGAATAGACTGAACAACTTTGCATGAGAGATGATATCATTGACACTGGCCAGATTCCACTGGGAATCATAGAATGTTGCTTCTTCTCCCAAAAAAATATAATCCCTCCTTGGACTTTGTATCAAGAATCTCTGTTATTCAAATTTTGGAGTTATGTGATCTTTAGGGGGAAATAGTGTGTATGTTTGCTTAGTCACTTCAGTCACTGCAGTGACTGTAGTTCAACTCTGTAAGATCCTATGAACTGTAGCTTACCAGGCTCCTCTGCCCATGGGATTCTCCAGGCAAGAATACTGAAGTGGGTTGCCATGCCCTCCTCCAGGGGATCTTCCTGGCCCAGTGATCTAACCAGTGTCTCCTGCATTGCAGGTGGAGTCTTCACAGCTGAGTCACCGGAGAAGCCCTTCTAGTTCTATCACTGAGCAGAAATAGGTTACATTCCTGCAAGCCCTTGAACAAATAACATTAACAGGCTCACTGTATTCTCCTCTCCTTTTATACATAAAAGTGATGTAAAGAAAGGTTAAAGAAAGTCTATCAGTGTTGCACTTTAAGTAAATGATGAAGGAAAGAATTAAACCTAAAATGTTCTACTTCCATGGAGAATGGAGGAGTTCACAGCAGGCCGATGTGTTTTGCTGGGTCTTGCTGGATACAACTTTAAAAGCTGGAAAAATGTTCTTTAAGAAACAGTAAATGCATTCAACATTTGTTGACACAACATGGACTAAATATGCTAAAATTCTAAAGAGTGGAGACTATTTCAATGTTAGCCAAGGATCTATAGCTTCTTTTTCTCTGGGAATTTGCCGATTCATTGCATAATTTAATGATTCAGAATCTGGGCTTGGGCAAGCAGAGAACTGTTGTTGTGACAGGAAGCCAGCATAATTTGGGAGTTACCTGGTGCCGGAGTGACAAAATTAGAGTCTTGAGAGCCTCTCTCACACAGCATATTTTCTCCTCAAAGATCTGCCCAGTATATAAGCTGTGAAGGAGAGGAGGCTAAAGAACTATATAAAAAGCCTTGGAAAGTAGAGTCTTTCTCATTCTCTTGGGTACTGAGCTACCAAAGAATCTAGCCTCTGAACTGAAATCTCTGAAAGTCCATGTCATAAGGACAGAGAAATCAGAGGTAAACTGAGTGCTATCAAAACTGCAACCCACACTTGTTACAGCTCAGTTTTAGGTTATATTTAGATGTCTTAGTGATACACACCCCTTCCCCCTACCTGCCTAGCAAAACAAAGGGTAAATCCTTTCAGGTGTTAGAAAATGTATCAGAAGTATCTTACTTTTTCACATATAATATATAGCATTCAATAAAAAATGACATAACATTTGACAAGTTAGGATAACAAGTGAAAAAAAGAGATAAGAGAATCCAGAGACACACATGATAGAAATGCATAAGGATTTTAACTACGATCAATGTATTTAGGGGAAAAGAGAGAAGGAGAGAATATACAGGTAAAAAGATGAAAAAATTAACAAATAATTATAAACAAATAAAAATAGCAATGGAACCATTGCCAACCTAAAATAAAATATCTAGGATTAAAAAGTGAATGAATAATGGGACCTAATGAAACTTAAAAGCTTTTACACAACAAAGGAAACTATAAGCAAGGTGAAAAGACAGCCCTCAGATTGGGAGAAAATAATAGCAAATGAAGCAACAGACAAAGGATTAATCTCAAAAATATACAAGCAACTCCTCCAGCTCAATTCCAAAAAAATAAATGACCCAATCAAAAAATGGGCCAAAGAACTAAACAGACATTTCTCCAAGGAAGACATACAGATGGCTAAAAAACACATGAAAAGATGCTCAACATCACTCATTATCAGAGAAATGCAAATCAAAACCACAATGAGGTACCATTACACTCCAGTCAGGATGGCTGCTATCCAAAAGTCTACAAGCAATAAATGCTGGAGAGGGTGTGGAGAAAAGAGAACCCTCTTACACTGTTGGTGGGAATGCAAATTAGTACAGCCACTATGGAAAACAGTGTGGAGATTTCTTAAAAAACTGGAAATAGAACTGCCATATGATCCAGCAATCCCACTTCTGGGCATACACACGGAGGAAACCAGATCTGAAAGAGACATGTGCACCCCAATGTTCATCATAGCACTGTTTATAATAGCCAGGACATGGAAGCAACCTAGATGCCCATCAGCAGACAAATGGATAAGAAAACTGTGGTACATATACACCATGGAATATTACTCAGCCATTAAAAAGAATTCATTTGAATCAGTTCTAATGAGATAGATGAAACTGGAGCCCATTATACAGAGCGAAGTAAGCCAGAAAGATAAAGACCATTACAGTATACTAACACATATATATGGAATTTAGAAAGATGGTAACGATAACCCTATATGCAAAACAGAAAAAGAGACACAGATGTATAGAACAGACTTTTGGACTCTGTGGGAGAAGGCGAGGATGGGATGTTTCGAGAGAACAGCATCGAAACATGTGTATTATCTAGGGTGAAACAGATCACCAGCCCAGGTTGGATGCATGAGACAAGTGCTCGGACCTGGTGCACTGGGAAGAGCCAAAGGGATTGGGTCGAGAGGGAGGTGGGAGGGGGGATCGGGATGGGGAATACATGTAAATCCATGGCTAATTCATGTCAATGTATGACAAAAACCACTACAATATTGTAAAGTAATTAGCCTCCAACTAATAAAAATTTTTAAAAAGTGAATGAATAAGTCAAACGAAATTTAGATAGAACTTAGAATATAGTGATTTAGAGGAGTCCTAAAGATGAGAGATGAGAAGGAAAAGAAAGTGTAGGAAAGAGAGGAGAGATACAGAGACAGAGAGACAGAACTACAGAAGTCATATTTGAAGATATAATGATAGAGAATTTTTAAAAATATAAATGGAAGAGTATGAAAACCTCCACTCCTAGTAAAGCTGCTGAAAATCAAAAGGAAAAAGGGAAATCTGGAATAATAGCACATTTATTAATACTACAGGAAGAGAAAAAAGGGGGGGAGAAAAAGGAACATAAAGCATGTGGATCAATTAAAAGCAAATGGCAGATACCAACACATCAACATTAGTAAATGCATTTACAGTAAATGGATTAAGATAAAACAAAACTGACACAAATGTTACTTGCAAAATGATCACCTTATATTATGAAAACAAAGAAAGGTTGAAAGTAAAATGATGGGGAAATGTACTAGCTGTAAGAAAACTGGAGTAGCTTTATCAGTGTCCCAGGAAGCAGAGTCTAGAAAAGATACATGACTTGAGAGTAGTGCTGAGTGAGGGTGTCGGAGCAGACAGACCGAAACCACAACCACAGACAACCAGCCGATCTGATCACAGGACTGCAGCCTGTCTAACCCAATGAAACTAGGCCATGCTGTGTGGGGCCACCCAAGACAGATGGGCCATGGTGGAGAGCTCGGACAGAATGTGGTCCACGGGAGAAGGAAATGGCGAACCACTGCAGTATTCTTGCCTTGAGAACCCCATGAGCAGAATGAAAAGGCAAAATGATAGGACAGTGACAGTTGAACTCCTGGGGTCAGTAGGTGCCCAATATGCTACTGGAGATCAGTGGAGAAATAACTCCAGAAAGAATGAAGGTACAAAGCCAAGGCAAAAACAATACCCACTTCTGGATGTGACTGGTGATAGAAGCAAGGTCCAATGGTGTAAAGAGCAATATTGCATAGGAACGTGGAATGTTAGGTCCATGAATGAAGGGAAATTGGAAGTAGTCAAACAGGATATGGCAAGAGTGAACGTCACCATTCTAGGAATTGGTGAAGTAAAATGGACTGGAATGGGTGAATTTAACTCAGATGGCCATTATATCTACTACTGTGGGCAAGAATCCCTTAGAAGAAATGGAGTAGCCCTCATAGTCAACAAAAGAGTCCAAAATGCAGTACTTGGATGCAATCTCAAAAACAACAGAATGATCTGTGTTCATTTCCAAGGCAAACCATTCACTATCACGGTAAACCAAGTCTATGCCCCAACCAGTAACGCTGAAGAAGCTGAAGTTAAATGGTTCTATGAAGACCTACATGACCTTTTAGAACTAACAGCCAAAAAAGATGTCCTTTTAATTATAGGGGACTGCAATGCAAAAGTACAAAGTCAAGAAACACCTGGAGTAACAGGCAAATTTGACCTTGGAGTACAGAATGAAGTAGGGAAAAGGCTAATAGACTTTTGCCAAGAGACCACACTGATCATAGAAAACACCCTCTTCCAACAACACAAGAGAAGACTCTACACATGGACATCACCAGATGGCTGACACCAAAA